TTCTATCACGTTCGCTACCAGATCTCAATTTATTGGTCATCGTTTTAAATAAGGGTTGTTTCTGTTTTCAGGAAGCAAAATGAAGCTCGCAGCAGTCCTTCTGCTAGCCTTCATTTCAGCTGTCGTTTCTTCGCCCAGCAGCACTCCGTCTGCCAAAATCGACGAGATTCGTCTCATCGAATCATCGTCACGCAAGGCCCCGACTCTCGGGAAGGATGAATCTTATTCAACCTCGCCAGCAGCAGTTGCTCGATCGTCAGACGAAACCGCGTCTCGTGCGAACGAGAGGTTAACGTCGAAATCGCAGCTGCACGATGATCCACTTCTGTCGGATCATGCGAAACCCATTTTAAACCCCAAGGAGCTGCTCCTGCAAGAAATCCACACTTTGGATGAAGAATTCCCTAACGAAAAGGTGAGCGTTTCGTACCGCCACCGCGATGACATAGTAAACTTAACTTCTCTAAAATAAAAAAATTTATTTATCACGCCTTAATTTATTTATCACGCGTGCTCTCTAATTGCAGACTCAAGAAGAAGTCGCGAGGACGTTGAAGGCGGAAGCTCGAAGGATCAGGCCACTGATCGCATCGTCGAGCGCCAGACCGTCATCCGCGAACGTAATCGACGATATTAACTCAACCACGGAGGACAGTGTCATAAAGAAGCTGCTGGAAGCCGAGGATGCCCCCTACGAAGATGACTTGAACGAGGACGAAGAGGACGAGAGCGACAGCGACAGCAACAGCGACTACGACGACGAGATCAACGATGACGAAGAAGTGATGACCCAGTGCCCAGACTACTGCAGATGCGCTGGAGAGTACGCAGCTGTGACAACTGCAACGTAAGTTTCCTGTGTTTGCGTCACTATATTCTGTAAATTACGTTTTCCCTCGAATTAAAATTGAATTTCCGAATGGTTTGGAAAATAGAGAATTGTAGATTACGGTATAAACCTGATCTTTAGGAAAGCCGAATGAATCAGAAGGATTATCACATGACTGCCCTAATGAACATTGAATCTATAACCCTAGATTGCAATATCAATAACAAATATAATAACAAATGTTCCCCTTTCTTCTCCAGATGTACCAAGCTCGTGGACGAGCAATCATTCAGCACTGGCATTGCCCATTTGCGACTGGACAATGCCGAACAAATCAGTCTGGGCCCCCATGCGCTCCGATCCCGAGGTCTTCAGCGCCTGGAGTCCATCACCATCACCGACACGAAGATCGTCGAGTTGAACCAAACCGCTTTCAACGACGTTACGTACCTATTCGCTGTCAACTTGACGCGCAACGGCCTCCAAGAGATCCCGCAGCACATTTTCCAAAACAACACCCAGCTGAACTTGCTCGCCATCTCTGGGAACCCCCTGAAGCACACGCAGGACTCCAAAACGGCGAAGCACGGTTTGTTCGACGCCCCGTCCGTCACCGAGTTTTACTTCACCTCCAATGGCCTGACGAAGCTAAAACGCACAGCGTTCGCCAGAATGCCGAGTCTTATCTACGTGAACCTGAAGAACAACAAGCTGAGGGAAATCGACGCGGCGGCTTTCAGAGGATTGGAATCGTTGGAAGAGGTGGATCTTTCCAATAACTTCCTGACTGAGATTTCCGTGGATATGTTTTACAAGAACGGGCTGCAGACTCTTCGTGTCGCTGGTGAGAGGCCATTCGGTGAATTCAAACTGGAATAAAACACGAACAATTTTATTCAATCAGGCCATAGGTGCTTCTAGTGGAATAGTTGCAAAAATTCAAATCAGAAAATAGAGTAAACTTACATATTCGTATCGAGAATGCTTCTGGTTTCATTTCGTTGATGAAATGTTTTCGATGTTCAATATTTTTCAGGTAACAATTTGACCACCCTGAGCACCATACAAGCCCCGAAACTGCAAGCACTGGACGCGTCCAGGAACAAGATCAAAGTAATCGCGAAAGACGATCTGTCTGGCATGCCACTGCTGGATCAACTGGTAGTCGCCTCCAACGGTCTGAAGAAGATCCACCAGCACGCATTTGCCGACTTGGATCAGCTCACCCACCTCGACGTCAGCGACAACAAGTTAACTTCTTGGTCGGAGCATCACTTGAGAACGAATCCAAGACTGCAAGTTTTGTTAATGAGCGACAACCCCGAGCTAGAAACGTTGCCAATTTTCAAGACTATCGACACCATCGAGTACGAAACCTTCAGGTAACGTCCAAAGAGGATTAAATAAATTCCACGAGTTACTTTAACTGATTTTTAGATTCGTTAAACGATTAATTAAATATTCTTTGCAGCATCTATCGTTTCGAGTGCGCGAATTGCGGCTTGGATTACCTAGAGAACGACACGTTCAAGGCCATGCCAGCGATCACGTGGCTGAATCTTTCAAGGAATCGTCTAACTGGTCTGCCAGCTGGACTCCTGAAGGGCCTCTCTTCTCTGCGAGTTCTCGATCTTTCCGATAACATTATCAACACCTTGGGGAACAACATGTTCGTTGGCGCTACCAATCTGGTGAAACTCAGCCTCGCTGGTAATCCATTGGTCACGTTACAAGTCTCCCCGTTCCTGTCGGCTCCTGGCCTTACCAAACTCGATGTGAGCAGATGCGAGTTGGAGAGGGTCTGGAGCGAAGCTAGAATCCCGTTGACCAGTTTGCGGTATGGAAACTATTTTCTAATGCAGGGAAAAATTTTAATCACGTGTTGCAGGAATTTTATTTATTTTCTCCTATTTTTTATTTTCGGGCGACTAGAGTATTATCGTAATTTCAGGACCCTCTCTGTTCGCGAGAACTATCTTCAACGAATCACCGTGGAGGAATTGAAAGCAACGCCGAAACTTGTCGACCTAGACTTGTCGCATAACCCTCTGAACTGCGATAGCGAATTCAACGAGGCTATACAATGGCTCACCGACCGCGGTGTATCTCCAATGGAAACCTCGAGGTATACACTAATTTGAAACCAGAGATTTGGTTCCAGAGATGATCTTTCGTGTAAATCATTACAATTCTTGAATTATTTTTCAGACACGTTAACAACTATGGTAACAACAACAACGACCACGATACCGACGGCGTCAGCCAGTGGACCGATCTGGCTAAAATAGTCTGCGAAGGCATCAACGATGGACCACCAGACAGATCGATTCGTCCGAAAGAAAAGAACATCCTCGACGGACTCTACACCCCCGAAGACTCTGATCCTCTATTAAGACCCGATTATGGCGAAAACGAGGTAAGTTGGCAATGATCTATCCAAGTGCAAGTATTTAACTTAAAAACGACCGAGATACAACAAATCTCCAGAAAGAAATGATCCTGTTAAAAATATTCTTAAATTTTGCCTACGACAAGCGAACGTACCTCCTTGTACATTCACGAGTGCAGTTCTAAAATGAACCCATCAAATATTCTTTCGTCCTCAGAATCCATTCCCTCTGGAAATCGATCACGGCATAAAATCGAACGAAGAGATCGAAAAAGCCCTGACAGCCCAAGAGCATGAATACGAAGATTTCATCGTCGCGACTAACATGGAGTACCAGCCGTGGTATACCAGCGCTGTTTGGCCCGTGATAATCGTGATCATCATAATGTTAATGCTCCTCATGTTGATGGTCCACATCGGTATCTACTTGGCGAGACGAAAAGGTCGTAGCCCCGTCATCAGGCCGCCCATGATACTACGTCCTGGACGACTGGACAACAAGAACTGCGGTTTGGTCTACAAGCCTCTTCAGGAAGAAATCGCCACTCCCCACGCCCCGAAGAGGGGTAGCTTTTATTCCAGCAGCACATTCCACTACGATAAAATCGTTCCAGAGAGCGTTTAGAGCGCACTGTAGTTACAAGTGCCTGACGGTAGACTCTATTCTATCTTATAAGGGCATTGATAACAAGGGGGGTGGGGGTGGGGGGGAATTGTCGAAGAAATATTTTGTATAAATTGGCAGGCCGAGCGGGCCACGGAAATGACCGACACAAATTTTACTATAAACTTTGCCAACTCAAACTTTGGCGTTACAATTACGTGAATATTTGTATAATTGCAATGATTCCTTCGTTGGATTCACCATTGCCAACTCGAATACATGTTCGCCTTAAAAGTGTGGCCACACATCAAGGGGTTAACTAGCGATCCACTTTCTTTAAAAAGAAAACTCGATTTTTAAAAAAAGCCAGGCAAAAGCGTAAGATTTTTATAGCGGTAAAATATACTTAAATGATGAATCGTAACGATGAGTAGGTAGTTTCTTTTTCAAATGTAATTAAAAGAGTATCACGGGAATCGGGCTGCTTTGCATATTATTTTATCTGCAAGATTTAATTAATCATTTTTAACAGTGTCTTGGGAATAGATACGGAAATTACAAAACTTTCTCTGCGAAATTCGTTCTGGTGGGCAGTTTTTTTTTTTTTTTTTTTTTTTTGGAAAAGAACGGGAACGGATTCACAACAATTTAATCGTATTTGTATATTTAATTAATGATACATAATTATATACCTCTATTGTAATGTTGTTTTTTTTGGGGGGGGGAGACGATAGTAGGATTATTATTCCGGATACGAGATACGTAAAAAATTCTAAACAGGGTTTGAAAAGTAGACAAAAAATATATGTATACATATATTTCCACTCGTGTGTGTGTATATATATATATGTTTTCATATGAATTATAATGTAAGACTTGCGACTTCTAATTGCAGTGATTAAGTTCCATGATGATACAAGTATTTACGAATAAATACCGCATATAGTACTAAGGAAACTAACGTCTCATAGTATGTTTATATTATTCTACATGCTGTAAATAATGTATAACGTTTTAATAAAATTTTGACTATAATAAGAGACACAGTGTCATATTTTTTTATTATTTAAATTCATTTAAAACTTTGCTGTTTACCCTTTACCAGGACAACGAGAAAAATTGATACAGCCCTGGCCACATTATCCGTATGGTACTATCTCGACGCATACTTGATTAACAGGAATGGAAGGAGAGGGCAGTCGACCAGTCGACGAAGAACGATTCAGACACGATCGACGACGAAGACCCACGAGCTACGATCGTTAAATCGTCCGTAAATCACTGATCTCGATCGTTGTTTCTCGACACGGCGGAAAATGTTTCCCAGAAAACGCGTTGTAGAGCTGTTACAAGTTATTTCTTCTCAATCGTAAGTAAACATTGATCGTGAATTTTTAGAGTAGTGACGTTTGTTGACTTCCATAGGAAAACATTTATAGAGCGGTGATCGATATTGTAATTAATTTGACACGATACTTGGGAATATTTCATGACCTATGATCTATGATCTACGTATGTGTATGTATTTTATGTATGTATTTTGTTGTTAAGTAAATATTTAACACGTGCACATGCTTTATAAAGAAAGATTTGATATTACTTGTATATTTGAATAATGATTTAATTAAGAGTATCACATATACTTACAGAAATTAGGTATTAAATATTCAATAAACTTTTTGTTAATCATCGAAATGAAATGAAATACTAAAAAAAAGACGCACATTTCGCGCAAAAGTATTCTCGAAAATATATTATTAGCAAATCAAAGTTATTAAAATTATTTCAAGACACTGAGATCATCAAAGGCCAGAGACAATGATTACAAAGTAGTCGACAAGTTAAACGATTTTAAAGAAAAAATAGTTTTACGTAAGTTGACATCGGTTGTAAACAATCCTGACCCTCAGGTTGTCACAGCTCACAGACAGTAACGTGTACGAAATACTTGCTACGCTGTATTTAAATTAATTTAACGTTATAACGGTATGAAATTATTGCTTTTCTTTTTTTAAGATGTAAATGTCCAGCTCATGGAAATCTAGAAGGCACAACAAGGCACGAGCTGGGAAAAGCTCGCAGCACAGCCGCAAATGCCACGCCATCGAAAGAGTATGCTTTCGAGGTACGCGTTTCCGAGATTTCACCCGAAGACTATCAATGTAAAATAATACGATTGCAAAATGCAAGAATAAGCACAATCAACTCAGTCAGATAACAGATGTTTACGAACTCCGTCTATTTACCGCCACGTGAAAACTTTTGATAACGATACATCTTATGTAACTTTCTACTGGGGCCTCGAATAATATTCGATATTATTCAATAACTATTAAAGTTTGAAAATAGTACAAGAAATAAAATTAAATATATAATAAAAATAATATAGGAATCTTTCCTTAATTTTGCTTAGCGAAATGCAAGAGTAATATAGAAATTGAAACTTACAGAAACGAAATTAACACATTCGATGGATTTGATTAATTTCGTTGCAATAAATATTAAAGGTAATTGCAGATGGCCTGTTCCACAGTACGGTACGGTGTCGATGTTACCAGGGAGCTGGGCCTCGACGTGCAGAATATGGGCACGAAGAAAGCGTGCTTGATGACGGACCCAAATTTAGTGAATCTGCCACCTGTGAAAACAGCCATTGATAGTCTTACAAAATCTGGCATCGAGTTTGAGGTTTACGACAGAGTACGCGTGGAACCAACGGAACAGAGTCTCCAAGACTCCATCGAGTACGCAATACGTGGAAAATTCGACGCGTTTATAGCGGTGAGGAACCAAAGAATTATTTAAATAGAAGAACAAATTTTTAGGAATACTCATAACGGTAGAGCATAAATATACAAATATTCAAAAAAATATAGCGTTAAAGAAAGATACAAATATTTTATTAAAATTAACCAGGTCGGCGGTGGTTCGGTGATGGACACTTGCAAGGCAGCAAACCTTTACAGCTGCGATCCGCAAGCAGATTTTTTGGATTACGTGAACGCTCCCATTGGGAAAGGCAAACCAGTCGTAGTGCCATTGAAACCATTAATCGCAGTACCAACTACGTCTGGGACTGGTTCGGAGACCACTGGTGTTTCGATCTTCGATTATCGACCGCTCAAAGCCAAAACTGGAATTGCCAATAGGTAAGATTAATAAAAAGTATATGTAGAATTAATAGAAGAAAAATAGGAAACATTATTTTCAGAATTATTAAACGTTAGAATTAATTACCAAGTGTTTCTGAAATAGGGCTCTGAGGCCCACTTTGGGTCTCATCGATCCAAGGCACACGCTGACCATGCCAGAAAGGGTTTGCGCTTATTCTGGCTTCGATGTCCTCTGCCATGCCTTGGAATCTTTCACCGCTATTCCGTACACGGAAAGGACACCCTGTCCTACGAATCCAATTCTCAGACCAGCTTACCAGGGCAGTAATCCTATCAGCGACGTCTGGGCAAGATACGCTCTGCAAACGATGCGAAAGTATGTATTACATTGTACCGCAACTATCTACCATCTTTTATTATGATTCAAATAATTAATGTATAATTATAGATGAATATAGATAATTACATATCTTCTTTTGCAGATACTTTCAAAGAGCAGTCTACAACCCAGATGACCTCGAGGCCAGAAGCAATATGCACCTAGCAAGTACTATGGCGGGCGTTGGATTCGGTAACGCCGGTGTTCACCTTTGCCACGGACTCTCTTATCCCATTAGTGGAAACGTCCGAAATTTCCAACCTGAGGTATTTCGATACGAATCAGAAAGTTCTTCTCCATTTTTTCAATCCGAGCCTTCGTTATGAAGATATAAGCGATTAAAGACTTGTGTGCCCACGCGTTCAGCTGATTGACAAAGAAATGGCGCGGCTCAAAACATTTTTTCAATCTTTAAATGCTTGTATCTAAGCAACAAAGCTTCTGATCGTTGAATGGTAAAGAACTTTTCGATTCCTTTACTCGAGTATCCTGGGCAACGATTCTGCATTTTTGTTAACTCCAACCTGTAAAAGTGTTGCAAACGATCAGTTGTGCCACATTCTAACCATGGTGCAAATATTATGTATTAGGTTGTCCCAAGAGTTTCTTTCGTTTTATTAATAAGTAGTACATGCACGATACTTTATGTTTTATGTTACATTACTGAATCGTGCACGATTCATTTTGCTCCGTTACTGTTACAACATGAATATCTATGAAATTAGATTGTCTATTTATATACACGACCACATCAAATAATTGGGTGCAACTCGCGAAAGAAAGTTTCAGGACAACCTAATAGTATAAAATGATTACAGGGTTACAGTAACGATCATCCCATAGTGCCACACGGCCTTTCCGTTGTTATATCGGCACCCGCTGTGTTCTCCTTCACTGGAAACGCATGCCCCGAAAAGCATCTGGAAGCTGCGGAATTACTCGGTGCTGACGTCAAACGAGCAAAGAGAGAGGACGCTGGAAAGATACTTTCCGACACAGTGAAGGAATACATGCGCCTGATGAAAGTCGAAAATGGTTTGACCCAATTGGGATTCAAGAAGGAAGACATTCCGACTCTGGTCCAGGGTACATTGCCACAGGTAAACTATACTAATCTATTTTTAGCAATTTTAAATGAAATAAGTTCAGAAATAGAAATTAAAATGAAATCCTTGAAAATTTTTGTGATAGTGATTTATTGATCACCATACACATAGCTATTACAATTCAATAAATTTGCCATATTCTCAACATTTTATACATGTATGACGAATTCATAATTGTGATACCAATCATACACATGTTTATAATTATATTTTGTATTTTTCACCCGTGCAATTTCGAAATTAATATAGAATCTTATCGCTATCATTCGCGTGCTAATTCTACGCGTTGTTTACAGCATCGTATCACGAAATTGGCGCCAAGAGAGCAATCCGAGGAAGATCTCTCGCAATTGTTTGAAAATTCGTTCACAATCTATTAAGAAGACGATATCGTTCGTTGCTGTAATTATCGAATAAAAATCTATTTTTTTTACCGAATTATATTTCATCTTTTAACTCGTATCCCGAATAAACATCGCACTAAATCTATTCACTGCTTCGCAACAATAAACAATTTTAAAAGTATTCTAATCTAAGCAAGCATATCGAACCAATGGAAATAAAATTACTGAAAATCGTTAACATTCAATAGATAATTAATTCGAATATTAAAGAGAAAATGTACAAACATTAATCGCGAGTACAAACTTGTAGTTAACAGTAATCGTCAAGTATCTTCGTCGAACGGTCCTTTAAAGAGCGTTCATCGTCGCAAAGACGATGAAAAGGACTCTGACATCGACGAACTCAATTTGTCAATGTGATTATTAATTAATTGTTCTTTCTACGACGATGTTAGAGAATGTTATAATAAGAAACCTGATTCCATCACCTACGCCAAAACGCATCGCATATACATGTTAATTAATCTAATTGAGCAGTAATAAAATTAAACAAATGATTTTCCTAAATCGAGAAGCCACGTGTCAGCCACAAATTTAAATTAACATCTATGGCAGTCAATCACCCTGTAAACCTAATAACAAATTTACCAAAATTTTCGAAATATTCTAGCCACGATATTCTCCCGGAGACGATATTAATTTATTCGTAGTACACACCATCGTAAAATGTTGAGAAACTTGAAACCAGCACGATTACTATAAAATTTGAACATTGAACACGAGAATATTACAATTACGTTTCGAGTAAACATTTTCGAGTTTGGTGAAATATATTTTACATGGAACTCTTTGCCAAGCTTTTTCTCTCTCAAAATCAAGAAATACAAATATAGCCACAGCTCTTGTGCAAATGCAGCGTCGTTGAAATTCTACAAATATCGCTTTTGCTCTATGAAAATGATTTTACTGAATACGTCGCGTGTATTTGGGAAAAATCAATGTTCGTTTGCACGATTTTTATGCAGAAACGATATTCGAATCACCAACGGCGCGGATGTGCGCCATGATGCTGTATATATTTTTTATTGAGTGTCATTTGAGAAAAACAAATGTCCTGTTCCATGATGAAAAATATTTCTCCAAGAATGATTCACGATACAAATGAAATCGACATTCGTTTCGTTAATGCAAATTTCATTTTCTCTTTCTTCTTCCCTGTCGCCTTGTTACCTCGTCCTTCGTACCTCTTGCGCATCGAAATCGCCATTCTGTTTTAATATATCTTTTCTTTTAAAACGCGTTCCTCCTGATCAATGTTTCCAATGTACATTATTCGCGATTTAAAAGTATCATAGGTCCGAATCTCCCGAAATAATTATTTTGAAATTTCCTATAATTGCCAATAAAAATATTACTTCAATCGTATTCCGCTTAATTAATTAACTGAACGTAAACTTTGTTTACGAAAATAGATTTATTTTAATTCCTCAACATTCTGGTCTGATATGTAGTTCAACAGATATTATTTTAAATCATGAATAATCTATTGCATTTTAAATATTCAGTTCAGTTAATATCAATTCTAAGCAAGAAAATACAATCTTTAATTTAATTATTGCTATCAGTTATCTGAATTACCTGATAACGATAGGACCTTCATTTTTATTCTCACTTTAGTCATCATGTTTTCCGAATATTTCGCGCGTATTTATTTTCTCTCAAATCTCATTGAAAATTCCTCCCAAACACGTTAAAGTACATTTTCTGTAATTATACAGCCACGTTACGAAATTTCATAAATAATATTTATTTAAATCTTATTTGAATATTTAATTATAAATTAAGAATGCCAATTTACTCACCGACGAGCTCCAACCAAGAGAAGCTCATTTTAGCCAGGCTCTCTTGGATTCCATCTCGATCCGACTTCCGTTATCGCAATTACGAGACTGGTAATCGAAGAACGTCGAACGCCTAATTCAAACATTCCAAGCATCTGGATATTGTTGACGTTCGTTCCTCGGTACAGAGACCAATTCCAAGAATTTTACAATGACTGTACGTTTACCCAAAAAAAAAAAAGGGTAGCTGATACTAGGAATTTACGATTCTCATTGAAAGCCGTGCTACGCTTGGAGGTTTCTGAAAGGATCGTAAACATAAACAACATCTGGCAAGGTATTTCTTGTCTTTATGATGTTACAAGAATAGAAATACGGAACTCTATGTAACGGAAAATTATTACGCGTAAGATTCTGTTAGAAAATTTGTTCCGAATTAATTATTAAACATTTCTGTAGAAGAAATTCTAGTTTCACGTTGCATCATGCGAACGTATTTTGTAGTTAATTTCATTTAATATTTATCACTGGTCATTCTAAAAAGACGACATAATAGTGATTAAACAGTAGCTGATTGTTTCTTTGTATTTATGATCTTATAAGAAGCTAAAATAATTAAAGATATTATATTCCAGAGGAGACTGGATACTTTCTCTTTCATGTTAATCGCCACCTAGCGGTTAAAAGGTAGAACTAAAATTCCGGCCTCCGTACAGCGCACCACCGGGAAAACGCCCAAGTTTGTCCTCGATTAGTTCCAAATTTCACCGCTAGATGTCGCTAAATGGTCGATCAGTTACCTACAAAGATAATAAGGTAATAATATCTATAATATATTAACAAATTCTATTCTGTTACATGCAATAATGAACTTGCTATTATGATAGGGGCTTTATAATATTCGAATGCAAATAATAATTCGTGTTTTAACTATTGTTATCACGCGGATTCCAACGAACGCTGTTAGGACATCTAGCGACAGGACACTGGAACTCTTTGTCTATGAACTTAGACGTTTTCGTCATAGATGGCGCCCATCACTTTTTACAGCATTGTTGTTCATCCTGCGAAGATTAGCTTTTAATCAGTTCTAATGTTACAGATTTAAATAACTATACATTCTGGGTTTAATTCAAGTACTGAAATCCGTTTAAAACTTATTTTGTAAACAATGTTGCTTAAGGAGGGTGAAGCGCCACCTACCATAAAACGTCCGAACTTTGTAGATAGATACCTTCTGGGTAACAGTATTTGCAAAACGATTTTATTATTTCCATGTTACAATGCTTATAGCATAATTACAAAGTCATTATTGTATGCAACAGAATAGACCTTGTTAATATATTGTAGATATTATTAATTTATTATCTTCGTAGGTAAATGATCGACCGTTTAGCGATATCTAGCGGCGAAATTAGGAACTAATCGAGGACAAGCTTGGGCGTTTTCCCGGTGGTGCGCTGTACGGAGGCCGGAATTTTAGTTCCACCTTTTAACCGCTAGGTGGCGATTAACATGAAAGAGGAAATATGTAGCCATTAATAAAAACTAATAATATATTTCAAATAAACATTTAGTCTTCTCCATATCATACAATTTTCAATGTACCGCATTTATTACATAATAATGACTATGTAAAATTGACTACTATATCGATAATTGTAATCAATGTATAAAGAACTACGCAATATCTTGAATTATTCTCTGCTCTTTTGTTGCTGTTATAGCAACTGATAGGATGGAATCACAAAATATGAATACCATGTAGAAGTATTCTAACGAAATATCACTAATATTTAATTTATAGTATAATACCAGGTATCTTAAAATTATGGCAACTGTTGGAATTAACGGATTTGGTAGAATTGGAAGAATGTGTCTTCGTGCTTGCATAGAAAAAAATATTGATGTAATATTAATTATTTAAGATGTATGATATTTTTTATATCAATCAGACACATAGTAATGATACGTTTTATTAGGTTACGTTGATCAATGATCCGTATATCACGACCGACTACATGATTTATTTATTTAAATACGATTCAACTCATGGAACTTATCCTTTAAAATTAGAATGTGAAAACGGATGTATTATTGTTGCAGGTATATATATCATTTTGACGCGATTCGATCCTTTGATCAGTAATAAAATTACTTACATCAGTTAAAATCATTTAATTTTGAACGTCTTATATAATTTTTGTACTTTATTAATAAATTTAGCTATACAATGCATTGGTTACTTTAGTCTGTAACCTTCAAACAATTCAATTGATTCCTTTCTTGTTAAAGATAAGAAAATTAATACATCACAAGAAAAAAATCCATCTAAAATAAAGTGGAAAGATGCAGGTGTAACTTATGTAATTGAAGCTACTGGGGTATTTAATACTTTAGAAAAAGCAGGTGTAAGAAGTAAAATTATTATCCTACCTGATTTTTAGCAGATCTTAAATGGCACATTGCTATTAAATACTCTAAGTATATAGTGACAATTAACAATATACTATGTATGGGGTATGTAACAATACATAAGGTATTGATTTTAGTTACATATGGATGGTGGAGCTAAGAGAGTCATTATTACTGCACCTTCCATTGATGCACAAATGATAGTTTATGGTGTAAATCATACCTGTTATGACCCTAAAAAAAGCAAAATAGTATCAGCTGCTTCTTGTACAACAAACTGTGCAGCACCAATTATTCAAGTGATGCATGACAAGTTTGATGTTATTGAAGTAATGATCACCAGTGTCCATGCTTTGACACCATCACAAAGAATTTTAGATGGTCCTATAGAAAGAGGAAAAGTAATAATTGTATTCTTATATAATTACTCAAGATGTGATGATAAATTATAATTGCATTGAACTATTATAACAAGGTGCATTATTATTGCATCTACATCACAGTTGTGGAGAGATGGCAGAGGTGCTGTCCAAAATATTATCCCAACATCCTCAGGTGCAGCCAAATCATTGGACAAAGTTATTCCTGAACTCAAGGGAAAGATTTCTGCTATAGCCTTTAGAGTACCAATCCCAAATGTTTCTTTATGTGATATGACTTTTAGGTAATGTAGACACACTAGGAAAGATACAGTTCAATATCAAGTGTTTACTACTGTGTCTTGCATGATCCATTTCAGAGTCAACAAACCAACAACTTATGAAGAAGTGAAAGAAGCAATGGAAGAAGCATCAAAGACTAATCTAAGAGAGATACTAGGTTATACAGACGATGATTGTGTGTCATCTGATTTCAATAACACGACTTATTCTTGCATTTTCGACGCGAAAGCTGGTATTCCTCAGACAAGTACATTCATCAAAGTTGTCGCCTGGTAATTCAATTATACTTTGCATTATATATCTTACAGTTTAATAAGACAGTTAATACATTATTCAGACCACCTTATAAACATGAATTGAATTGTTCACAGGTATGATAATGAATATGGTTATGCACATCGTGTAGTAGACCTGGTGCAGTACATGTTCAAAGTTGATTCTGGGGAAGTACCAGTGGTTCAAGAAACTGTAGAAGAAAGTGAAAATTAATAATTCATTCATTGAATAAACATACACCGCACTTTTATACTTCTACTATTCCTGATATAAAATGACTGTGATTTTTAATTTATACATATTTAATTATATTTTATACAATTTGAGAATACAATTGTTTTTATAAATATCACGAATTGTTGTCGTTCTTCTCCTGAAAAATTGACCAATAAATTTGAATAAATTCATCAAATAAATGATGTGTCCATTAGAAGAAAGATGGAGAAGTATGTGTTCCGTAGTAACCTAAAATTTCCAACAAACTGTAAAACATAAATCGACTTCGTATCAGGAGTATTTGAATGTTGCGGTTCGTAAGTACGTCGATAAGACCATCGAGCCACGTGATCCGAAGGTAGCCGATGATGGACGAAAATAAAAAACGGTTACGGCGCAGGAACCCAGCCTGATGCCGGTTATATTACCGTTTTCTGCCCTTCAAATGACACTACGTCTGTGGTAATCATACCGTGAGGATCGTGTTTCTACGTAAGTAGTAACGAATTTTTCACTTCTATTCTACCTGATCTTATTCCCTTGTTCTTGCAGAGGTAAATAGATCTTCATTTTACATTCGTGCTCGAATTTACGGACAGTTCATCAACTTACACAACCATTAGCCACGTTGATATCCATTAACCATAGAGTAGAAAACGAGAATTGTTCCGGCTCTGAAGAAATTATCATAGCATGTGCATGCACGTACCGGCTGATATGACGTCATTCAGAATAATTATCTTTTAATGTATGCGCCGGTAGATTCAGTAGCTTATGAAAAATCTTCGAGAAATCATCCATTGATCAACTCGCATCGTGGCGAATTTGTTTCCAGGCAGAATCGTTCTGTCGGCTTAGCAGAATTTCATTTCATTTCATTTGTTATGCAATTCTATTTATAAAGCAAAGTAATTTTATTCTCATTTAATCGATATTAATGATTTTTATGGTTCGATCATAAAATACTTAATATATTCCATTCATTTACAAATGTATGCCACATACTCTAGTCTTTGTCTACGTCCTGCAGATGTTATCGATCGATAAGATAATAACTCTATTATAGTTTCGGTTAATAATAATTTCATACAAAAATCAATGAAAAATTGAATTTCAATTTCTTAGGATCGAACATCAATGTTCTTAAAATGTAGTCTTTATTTCGCAGTCGAGAAACATTAATCGAGAGTCCGTTACTTTTGCTCTGATTTAGTTTGTAATTATAATAATAAATTAGGAAACTTGGAAAAATTCCAATAATGTGACACACATCACTATGAAATGTAACGCATCTTACTGTCATTTTCATTAATCATCGTTACGTCATATTGTGTATACCCCAGATTCACATGTAACCGTTACTAATTACGAATATTACATACATGTTGTCCTCAAATAATGTATAAATTAATAACGACTTTATGGATTGTAACCTATCGATCGTGCCTGTACGTGAAAAAGGTCACGTTCGCCTTCAAGGACAAGTTCGAATCTGCCATACTTTTGACCTTGCGTGACCTTTGAGAGAACATACGAACTCGTGTAACGTGAACAGTGGAATTATGATGAATATTTTATCTTTAATTTGCAACTGTTAATTTTAATTAATTTCTAATTTGTATAATTAATACTCATCACATGACGCAACTTAAGATTGTACACTCCAAACACGCCTCAACTAAATCATTACATATATTGCAACATGGAATTGTAGAATTAAACATAAAATTATAAAATCTCATGCGTATTTGTCTAATTTGTTTAATATCGAAAGAACAACTGACCTTATTCCTACTATCTTCACGTTTCAATCAACAAAACAAAAATTATTTACTAATTTAATAAAATTGTATCAATAATTACTTCGTTTATGTTTCAGTTGCACAACCGACGACATGAGTAAAATTGGAATTAACGGATTCGGCCGTATCGGCCGTCTGGTACTTAGGGCCTCCATCGAAAAGGGTGCCCAGGTAAAAATTTTGATAATTTACTACATTTCATAATTTATTCTGTTATATCTTAATTATTAATTGTTGGTAATATCGACAGGTCGTCGCCATCAATGACCCTTTCATTGGTTTGGACTACATGGTCTACATGTTCAAATATGACTCTACTCACGGCAAATTCAAGGGAGAAGTTAAAGCCGACGGTGGTTGCCTAGTCGTCAATGGCAATAAAATTGCCGTGTTCAGCGAACGCGACCCAAAAAGTATTCCATGGGGCAAAGCTGGTGCTGAATATGTTGTAGAGTCGACTGGCGTCTTCACCACCATAGAGAAGGCCTCTGTATGTAAAAATCTTCAAAATTACCAACATTATCGATAGGATGATTTAAAAATGAATTTCTAACAAAATCATGTTGAATGTTTTTATAGGCTCACTTGGAAGGTGGTGCTAAGAAAGTCATCATTTCTGCACCATCGGCCGACGCACCTATGTTCGTCGTTGGCGTTAACTTGGATGCTTACGATCCGAGTTACAAAGTCATCTCCAACGCTTCTTGCACCACCAACTGCTTAGCTCCTCTCGCTAAAGTTATTCACGATAACTTCGAAATTGTTGAAGGTCTCATGACCACCGTTCACGCTATCACCGCTACCCAGAAGACTGTTGACGGACCTTCTGGCAAAGTACGTAAAACCTTTTGCGCTATTAATAGAGATGAATAGAGATTGAAGATGACAGAGATTAACTTATTCTTCTTTTTTGTTCTATTATCAATAGTTGTGGCGCGATGGACGTGGTGCCGCACAAAACATTATTCCTGCTGCCACTGGAGCAGCCAAAGCTGTCGGCAAGGTCATTCCGGCTCTAAATGGAAAACTGACTGGTATGGCTTTCCGTGTCCCAGTGCATAATGTATCCGTGGTCGACTTAACAGTCCGACTTGCTAAACCTGCAACCTACGACGCCATTAAGGCCAAAGTAAAGGAAGCGTCCGAAGGACCTTTGAAGGGTGTTTTAGGATACACAGAAGATGAAGTAGTGTCTTCCGACTTCATTGGTGACAACCACTCCAGTATTTTCGATGCCAAAGCCGGTATTCCCTTGAACGACAATTTCGTTAAACTTATCTCGTGGTACGACAACGAATACGGTTACTCCAACCGCGTGGTCGACCTGATCAAGTACATTCAAACAAAGGACAACTAAACAGTTCTTCGTATGTCCATGTGTAATACATTCAGAATTTTTTCTGTGTGATGTGTATCATACATGCATATCGTCGTTGTATGGATACTTCATATTAAATAACGTTCTGACTAGCCAGTAGCGTTCCCGAACAAAAATTGAAGATGTAAAATAAAGAGTACTATAGCATACAATTGTTCTTGCACGGATAAAAAGCTTGCAACCAATGTTGTACAGGTATCTGTTGCCAAAAATCAGTACAAAAAATAAGCAGGTCTTAGAGTTCGTTACATTATTTAATTCGAATTTCAATTCATAGTTTTTCATATTAATTCGTTACCGATGTAAAAAATATGGCTGCAAATAGAACACACATGTATGTAAGGTACACAGCCAACTATGTAACATAAATTATTGTATTCTTGAGCGATATCGCGTAGATACAACTAATGTACGTTACACCTAACCAATTTATACTCATTCAATCAACATTCACAAGAGGGACATAAGAACATTTGTGATTCCTTTTCTGTAACATTATTATTTATCATTCATTGACACAAATAAAAATTGTTATGATACTAAGAGGTTAGTTTTATTTTACGAACGTTCCTTTATATTCATGTAACACTGAAACGCTTTGCAGGGATACTGATTCTTGACTAAATGACAATGGAACTACAATCAATATTTTATTTTTAATTTCCGACTGTATCAAATTTGTTTAATCGACACTTGTAACACAACGCATTTATAGGTCGATACACGTATACGCTTGTAGCACGTCCTAATTATATAATTATATTATCTGTCAAACGCAGAATTAAAAAGATTCCATGTGTATTTATCCAATTTGTTTTATACAGAAAACATAACCAATTAATGCAATACATCAAATGTCAAAAAGACTGTCAACCGTATTCGAAAAGAATATCATTTGCAATGGCATTAATTTTATTCTCTTTTCGTCGTAATATTTTTACGATGCGGTCAATTACACAACAATTATTCATTGATTCAAGATTCATGAATCAAAAGTTACTGCGTTCATTTTCCAGTTGCACAACAAACGACAAGAATAAAATTGGAATTAACGGATTCGGCCGTATCGGTCGTTTGGTACTTAGGGCCGCAACCCTTAAAAAAGATACCCACGTAACAATTTTGATAATTTTATGGACTCGCATCATTTTTGTTGAATTTCATCTTAATTATTAATCGTTGTAATTTCAATAGATTGTCGCCATCAATGATCCCTTCGTTAATTTAGACTACATGGTGTATTTGTTCAAATATGACTCTACTCACGGCAGATTCAAGGGAGAAGTTAAAACCGACGGTGGTTGCCTAGTGGTAAATGGAAATAAAATTGCCGTATTCAATGAACGTGACCCAAAATGTGTTCCATGGAGCAAAACAGGTGCTCACTATATTGTAGAGGCGAGTGGTGCCTTCACTACTAAAGAAAAGGCCTCTGTACGTAGATACCTCAACAATTGTTGTCATTATAGAAAGATTTGGACACAAATTTCTTACAAAAACATGTTAAATGTCTTTATAGGCTCATTTGGAAGGTGGTGCTAAGAAAATCATCATTACTGCACCATCTGCTGACGCGCCTATGATCGTTGTTGGCGTTAATTTAGAAACTTACGATCCTTGTGAAAAGGTCATCTCCACGGCTTCTTGTACTACCAATTGCTTGGCTCCTCTTGCTAAGATTATTCACGACAACTTCCAAATTGTCGAGGGTCTTATGACTACCGTGCATGCTTACACTGCTACCCAGAAGACTGTTGATGGAACTTCTGGCAAAGTATGTGAATCTTTGTATCCCTGTAACTAACATTGTCATCAAATTTGATTTGTACTATTTTCGTTGTTTTATTTATAAATTAGTGGCGCTCTGGACGTGGTGCCGCACAAAACATCATTCCTGCTAGCACTGGTGCAGCCAAAGCTGTCGGCAAAGTCATACCGGCTCTTAGTGGAAAACTAACTGGTATGGCTTTCCGTGTGCCAGTGGCCAATGTATCCGTTGTCGATTTAACTATTCGACTTGGCAGGCCCGCAAAGTACAATGACATTAAGGCTAAAGTGAAGGAAGCGTCCGAAGGACCTTTGAAAGGAATTCTAGCATATACAGAAGATGAAGTAGTGTCCACTGATTTTAATGGTGATACCCACTCCAGTATTTTCGATGCTAAAGCCGGTATGGCCTTGAACGACAATTTTGTTAAGTTAATTGCGTGGTACGATAACGAATATGGTTTTGCCAGCCGTGTGATCGACATGATTAAATATATGCAAAAGAAGGACAATTAAATAAATTTTCGTATATCCATGTTCATATAGTTTGTCCGTATCATGTGTGTTACAAATGTATGTTGTCGATGTATGAGGGATAGAAAAATATTTTTAATTCCTTTCTGTAACATTAATATTTATCATTCATTGGCACAAATAAAAATTGTTATGAAACTAAGAGGTTGGTTTTATTTTACAGACGTTTCGTTTATCTGCATATATCGTTACATTTTTACAGGATTACACGAATAAAAGGAATAAGTAAATAACAATTAATTTTATATAATTTTTACACAACGTTTATACACTTACAAAAAGATTTTTCTCATATATATGTTGATTGAAACATTTATTTCTAAACAGTTTTAACGTCAGGACAGTATTATTTCTTAGTCAGCGATAGCGGCTGCACTATTAATAATATTAATATATCGTATTGTATGGCACAAGGAATTATCTATTATTTAACTTTTCTTAACAATGTTAAAATCATTGTTAGTTGTAATGATTTAACGAGTTCATCTCTTTACATCAATATAATATTCATATAATCCTCGTAAGCAAAGTAGCAAATGATACGATGTGATATTTCTTGTATTTAAATTGAAAGCGGTATATTAAATAATATATGAAGTAAAGCAAAAGTAGAACATATAAATTGATTCAAGGATATTAACATTTTTTTCAAAGTATATTTATTCTCTGAGTGTTCTGTTCCTGCGAACTTCATTTTCTCTCATTCCTTGTACTAAACTCTATTGACTATGTACAGTTACTATCACGAAATGAAATACATCGTAACACGTTTCAGAAATACCGATTCTCAGTTTTCAACTATTTGCCATGCTGTGAAAAATTTGATTGTACAGCGATACGAAAATACAGTTTTATTTTTTTCGTCGTAAACAATAAACGTCTATCACTCGTTTCTTTTTTTTTTTTTCTTTACAATGTTCTATAATAAATTGCAGTTTACAATAATTATCAAGCTTTTTCACTCTATGGCTCGATGTAAACATTCAACTTTTAAAAGATTTTTATGTATATACAAAGAACTATGTTTTTGCAATTCAGCACAATACTATGCATAAAAAATAGAAGTTCTCAAAAGGAATCGAACGTTAAAATGCTGTAACATTTGAATGTTAGAGTGGGCAGATGTACTATACTTCATGTACTCATACTCTTAATAATGCACACTGGAATTGCGGGCGGAGAAGGATTAAATATGGATTATAGCGTAACCATAAGGAATTTTACTTTAATTAATGCTATTTTAATATTAAACAAAAACAAAAAAAAATAGAAAAAGAAATGTGTATATTATAAATGAAACATAATCGAAAAATGTTTGTAATTATCTTATTAATATCTACCATTGTAAGAATGATTCTTAACGTTTAGTAGCAAGTCGGGAAATTTAGTCCAAACCAAGCATCAGTTTATTGTACTCTTATTATTATAATAATTCAAGATTAAGAACTGTGCCAGGTATTTCTCTCTCTAAATTGTGCCATGAGCCCAAAGAGACCAAGAATCTTGGTTAAGAACCACTGTATTATAGTATTAACCCTTAGCGGTCCGGTGGCAGTTTGTCACGCTCGTCGGCAGTATTGATTTTGTTCAGCTATAAAATATAGCAACTACAGCCTATTGGAAACTTACCTTTCTTTATGACAATAATATTTAAATCGCAGTATTAATCATAAATAATCAAAGTAATTTTGAATAATAATAATAACAATAATAATAATAATGATCAATTGAATACTCACCCGGGAGCGTTGTGATCGCGAAGGGTTAAAAATGTATGAATATACGTTCGAAGTAAAACAGATATTTAAACATCAACGGCAATAAAAACAGATCGAATAGTTAACTCTTCCAATAGATTTGTATATAGTTTCTATTGATATTCCTTTTGTAATATTAACTTCTGGTTACGCTAACTATTATGAATACACAAGATCTCATCGAAAAAGGAAAAAATTCTACACTAGAGTGATATATCAAATACATGAATTACGATCAATTTAGGAAAAATCGGTACTTCACAGTTTGGAGCATTCACAAATGGTAACAGATTACATCATGTTAAGAGTAAGAGTTTTGCACGAAGATTTATACGTTCCTGGAGCGCGCTGGCTAATTCTCGTGTTAATTCTTCGCAGACTAATCGCAGTTCAGTGTTCTTCTCTCGCAATTCTTGTAACGTTAACTTCTTTGACTCTTCTACCTCGTCCTTAGGAGTGTCCTCCTCCCCCCCTTCGCGTTCTAAGAAAGACAAATTTTGTTTACGTTCACATGAATTTCTTACAAGTTAATCCTAAAAAGACCAAGACGCGAGCTGTTGAAGACTAAAGAGGGGAGGGGGGCTCATCATCGAGTCCACCTTAATTAAAATCATTTTTTATTTAATAACATATTTTTAAAATGTTCTGATTGTGGAATGCAACAAGCTCTTCTCTCCTTTTGATCTTTCTAGGATTAAATCAAAAAGAAATGAAACTTACTTGGACTAGGTTTTCTATAAATATGAAATGCACCACAGACACCGGTAAATTGCTGTGATTGTGGAGTAATGGTTTCCAATTGTGGATTTTCAGGCAGTTCGCTCTTTGGGGAAAAGTGAGAAAAATCAGCAACAAAATCTTGATTGTCACTTAGGGTTCTTTGTCCCTCTCCCTCACTCTTTTGTCCAACCAATTTACGAGGTGAAGTCTGTAGTTGAGATATATGACAAATTTTTCTTTATAGCAAACAATTTTGCTTATGTTTCCTAATATTCTGAATCCATATAATCATGTATAGCATGTAAAATGTCTGGAATATCTACTGCGCAGATCCATAAAAAGCAGCTTAATTAAACATGGGTCTTGTCCTTAATAATTTTCGTTCATTTGCATAAGGGGCTGTATACAGTTGGAAGGGTAAAATTTACATTTTTTAAACGATACTTTTTGAAAATATGAAAAGCTTAAAAAACATTTTCCTAAAATTTTACAATTCTAAATGAAAGAATCTCGAACATTCCAGTATTTACGCAGTATTTTTGAGGTCTGAAGAGCGTAGTACAGTAGTGCTACGTTAAGTTGCCGTCGAATTAGAGAAAGTCGAAGAGGAACATAAGATTGACGAGAGCGAGTTATAGTTCGAATGCATTGGCGAATAAATAAAGAATAAATTTTAAAATGTACTTACTTTTATCTGCACATAAAAAAAAATTACGAAAGGTGAGCACAGGAAAAAAAAAGGCTTGATAATTAATACAGAATAACTGAAAATGAAAGACTAAGATTTCATTTAATTTCTTCTTAATTAAAAAAGACAGCACCTATTTTGTGGTATGTATTTAGATAACAACTGGCATAATGTAGGTACCAAAATCAAGCCTTTTTTTTAACTATCTAACTGTATATAACCCCTTACTACTTAAACAGTTCAGGAGTAAACACTTACAATTCCAGGAGAGATTCTTGGTGGAACTAATGGAGGTGCTCCAAGGAAACTTTGACCATTTTTTCCTATAAGAATGGGCACAGTTTGAAGTGTAAAACTTTACTTTTGCATCCATAGATGAAAAGTATCACAGAGTATTGGTAGCAACATATACCTAATTTATTAAGATCAAGACTAGAACTTCTTGCATGTGTTCTGTATGGTCTGGGTGGTGGTGGAGGTGGTGGTTCCTTCTTTGGAGTTACGATAATACCCTCTTCAGAAGCTGTGGGTGGTTTTTTTATCTGAGATCGTTGCATCAATGCAGCTGCAGTATGTTGGAGATCCTCATCTCCTAATGTAGTGCAACTATTACTATTACCATTTGCTCCAGACGCGAGAATAGCTGCCTCGGGTGTTAAACGCAATGGTACAGGATGGAGAATTTTAGGATCCTTCTCCACAGCAGACTTTTGAAAATCAAAATTTACTAGCTGCAGGCCTGGAATAGTTAGAGAACTACTAGTTCCAGTCGGCGAGTCCACAAATTTTGTCCATTCTTTATTTTTTTCACAGGTACCCGTAGAATTTGGCGGACTTTGTTGAGCGGTTGTACTCGGTGGAGTAGGGGGATGATCACTCTTTTGCCTAAGCAGAGGGATTAACAAGGGTGGAGGTAACAAAGCGGGAAGAGGCACACGATTTCTTCGTAACACAGCAAGATGCATAGCTACAAAAAATTCTTCTAAATTCAACGCCCCATCCTTAGTTATATCTGCCAATCGCCAAATGTGACTAAGCTCTCTGCGAGGAAGCCCAGACATTCGAAAAAATGTTCTAGCTGCAGGTCCATGCAAAAGTCCATCGGAATCGAGTTCTAGCTGCTTAAATTGAGTTGTATAATATTCACGTTGCTCGTCAGTAATTATCCATACTTTTGGTGAAAAAGAATAGTCGCCATCTCCATCCCCTTCGTCGCTGCTATGACGTTCCGAACTTTCTTCTTCTGTTCCTAATAGCTGCCTTGATTCTTCAGATAATCCTTGCCAACCCCCTGATACAAAGTCTAATATCGTTTCACCACCTATATCATTGTTTCTCTCTGGTATTACACTATTTGTTGGCGTCGGCGAATCTGTACTACCGCCAGTTTCCCTTGGAGATTCTGCTTCACTTTCACTTTCTGTAGTACTTTCGGAAGCATGCCGTCGACCTTTCACAGCCCTATTTGAATCAGAACTCCTTCTACCATCTTCATCTGCTGGTGTTGGCCAAATAAAATCCGGCAAACGAACATCCAAAGGCATGGTAATTATGTCTTTACGAATGTTAAGCCCAGACTGATGTGCTGCCACAAGTTTCAATAGTACGTAAAACTGTTTTTTCCCAATATGCGTGCCAATATAAGTTGCTTCAGTCCCAACACAGATATCCAGTATCTATGAAGCATAAAAATTAACCATTTGGCTAATAATAATTGATTCCACTTAATTGTCACAATACCATAGGAGTAGTTTACGTCTACTACATTGTTTTCTGAGATTTTTTATTAAAATAATTACTTACAAATTTTGAGAACATTAAATATGTAAAAGCAACATAAAAATTTGATAAATGTTGAAAGTGGATATGGGTGTTGATGTCAATATGTATAAATATCATTAAAATGTTAAGTCTGCGTCAATTATTTGTACTGATAATTAATATTATGTATTCATGTTAGCAATACTCCAAAAATAATTATTACAAATTATATGATCGAGCTGGACAATATTTGTCAGCTGTAACCAAATATCCTTATCTATAAAACACGCACTTTCAAAACCAGACAATATTATGGAACGCAATCACAGGTAAATATCACCTGATCATTTGCAAGATCTACTATTTTTAAACTCGCTGCCACAGAATAAATGAATTGCTAATAAACGGTAATTAATTTACCACATAATTATTGATCAATCTTCTGCTTTGCAATGCCTTGAATACAAATGCGCAGATCTAACACAACGATTTCGAAGTATGTGTCAGAGATATTCGGTAAGCAAAAAAATGATATTTTGGATTAACTTTCAAAAAACTGATTTTCGAAGTACACGATTTTACGATGAAACGATATCAGTCGTTTCGATTCGAAATCGATCCCTGATTCGATATCCTTCGCAACAATTAAACAACTCCAATTTATGAATCTCACTTGTGACTTTTCGTACAGACCTAACCTTCTCGAGTTTCCATAATTTGCCGACATCATGACACATTATGACACATCGAACGCCCACCTCGGCGCGATTAACCGTGTAACGTGGGTCTTGACATTTTGCTCACGGTTATGACAGAAAACAAACAGCTGACAGGCTAACGAATAACGAGTGAACATAATTTACCTTCATCGTGACAACTCCTGGTATATTCGAGGAACGTAGCAGCTCGACAACTTTGATCACCGGCACGCTATCGCTGTCAGCATTTTCGCATAATACACCGTAAACGGTTTCATAGTAGAGTTGCTCGGTGGTCGTCAGGTGAAGGTTCGCCACCGTGATCGACTCCCAATCCATCTTGACGACAAGTCAGAGCGGAGCAATGAACCGCTTCAACACACTCGTTACGTATAAACTGGGTGCCCCGTTCTCTTTCTATAGTCTCCTTCTCTCTTCTCCGTCCTTCTGCTTCGTTGCCCTTCCGTTCTTGACACGGTTTATATCCACGGGACGGTCGTGATCAACGCGATCACATCGCACGACAATATTACGGCTTCGACGTATCCCTTGGGAACGCGAGACACCCCATTTATAAACTATATCCCATGCATCACGAAATTACCGCTCGGCCGCCATCTTTCCGTTCCCTCGGCGTTTGATGTTCCCATAAACTATGCGCGTACACTACTCGCACCGCACAACTGACATTTCTACAGTAGATGCGCGTTAACTTTACCCACACGGATCGCTGCCACTACGCATGACCTACTTTCATGGCGACCGCGCGGGAAATTTAAATGCGCGAAATTTAAATTTAGAACTTCTTTATCACATTTTCATCAGAGTTTAGCGTTATTCGAAGGGTTTAGATGTGCTTTATAATTGTTTGTCAACGGAACATGATGTGTGAAAAATATCTGTGTTTCTTAAATAATTATTTTCTTCAATTAATTTATTTCGTAAATCCTTTATGCGTGTAACAGTACAATTTAATGTTATAATATTTCTATTCCTTTCATTGACCTGTAATTCTCATACACATCAATCTAATACACTCTTTGCATTGTGTATTTCAAGTATTCGCATCGCTTTTGTTTAATTCCAGTGAAACTTATCAAAAGAGGGTAATCGGTATGTTTTATTAACAGTAATTATATATTTCTAAACTTCAAGTCATTGGCCATCGTGATATCGTCGAGTATTCGTTATTGTTATTATTTCCTGTCGTGTAACATTAATTAATGTAAAAGGGAAATGATTGATTTCTTATGTTTAAACTATTCCATACGGGTGTAGCATAGTTTTCACGCATCGAAAGTCCAAGCGTTTAAACTTTCGCGTTTCTTGGGAAACAAATAAGAAAAACTTCAACGGAGTAAAGTTGCTTCGCGAAAGGGAACACGTAGAACGCTTATGATAATAACGATACGAACTGGTGCATGACTAGAGTGAGTTATTACGATGAACTCGAAAATTTACAGTGAATCTTGTCTACGAAGCGTGTGCTCAAATCAGTGCCATGCCTCTTAAACAAGACTCACTGCACTTGACTTCGCAGCCATCAGACTCGTAAAAATTCGATGCAATCGGTTTCTTCTCAATCTAATGGTAATATAAATTGCAGACGTGTAACGAAACTTCACCGTGAGTCACAGACACGACAATTCTTCGAACAATGTTCCGCAGAAGCGTGCAATAAGGGAATCAAACATTTTCCACGACCGAAGAAGACGGACTTCTCTTTGCGTTACCGTAACGTCCGGTCGATGTCTTTTTTCCAGCCGATTTAAATCGATTCAATACCGGCGAAACTTCTCTCGGACTACCGCTAATATTATCGAAGTCCCAACTGGCGAAATGTTCCTCGAATAATTCCTCCAGTTTCTTCGACAGCGTTTCGATCGTTTTAACTCGATCGTGATCGTTCTGCGAGAAGGACAAGAAAATAAAAAAAAAAAAAATGTTAAACATCGTGCAGGGATCGCTTGCCGTATAATAAACTACAAACCTTGTGATATAGTTTGGAATTATAAACGATACGACGAAAGTCTCGAACCGCGTGCTCTACTTTATGGTAAACTCGATTCTTCAGCTTGTACTCGACAGTTTCAAGGAACATTGGGCTCTTGATGACTGTACAATAGTCTTCGATCTGAAAGAACGTGTAGTAACTGTCAGTATAATTAATAAGAAATAATTTTACCAAATAAAATAAATATTGATCCTGTACGAACCGTGTGCGCAGAGGACTGGCTGCCGCCACTGTCTCCCGAAGAAGGGCACTTGAAGATTTCCGCCTCCTCCATTTGCCAAACAGTCCTATGTATCATCTCCAGCTTGCTGAGAGCAAGGGGGCTGAGACTTTGCTTTCTTTTGGAGCTGTACCAAACGGACCAACCCCGATCGCCACTTTTCCCCCCATATTTTCCGTCCAAGAACTCCACGCATCCGACGCCATCTTTCTTCTTCCCGTGCTTCGTCGTTGCTACAGTCTGCGACGTCGAGGATGGAACAATTAACGAATTCTCCTTCGTACCGTCGTTTCGCAACTTGAACTTGCCGCAGGACATTTCCTCCGCTTGTTGATCAACGACTTCGCAACGTTTCGTCGCCTTCTTCCCAGAACATTTCCGAGATCTGTTGTGCAAGAGGTAATACGACTTCTCTGGGTCCTTCCTCTGACACCTGCGGCCAGGAATCGGTATCACGGGGCTGCCGATCGCCGTTGCGTTAGCCGTATTCAATTTTCCCTTTTTGCCAAACTCTTTTCTCTCCGATTGCGACGAGCTTAGAGCTGTGCAGCGACGAACGGTCTCGGAATAAGTGGCTTTGCCAGCGACTCGTTCGAACTCCTCGGACGTTTCTCGATCGTTGTTCAAGATGGTGCAGCTTTTTCTGGTACAGCTCGTCTGTTGGAGGCTTTTAACCGTCGCAGTCGTCGTGACTGTCGTCGCGGCAGTCGCCAACGACAAAATGGGGGTCGTTTGCTCGTCCTCCATCGCCGAGCTGTTCGAGGATCCTGAACTATGACGATCAGAACTGTTTTCACGCCGCTTCTGCTTGTTCACCATGCTAGCGTTGTTCAAAGTTCTGATTAACCATGAGTCCGTCTTTACGTTCGTTTTACTGGAACCTGTTAACGGGTAGCTGCATAAAGTTTTGCGAAATTTAATGCTGGAAGAACGGAACGCGATATTTTCTTCTCGTTACGTTTGGTTCGTGAATCGAACCGTTTATACGTTGAATTAGCACACTGGGTGTTCTCAGCAACGTGAGCATCTGGAAGATCTCTGTTCAATTTTTTTTTTTTTTATTAAGAAAGGTGGACGCAAAACTTCCGATATTTCCGTTCTTCTAGTATTAAATATTAATAATGATTAGAATTAGTAATATTATTGGATATGTAAAGGAATACACTCATATTACTTTGAACTTATGTAGTGATGTAAAATCGCAGGTGGATTGGAAATATTTGAGATCTTTTGTATGGAGAACGAATTCGTTAAGAAAAATCTTCAGAATATATAAGGGCGGATCACGTGACTAAACTTGAGAGTCTGGGGTTAGATCTGTACAAGGTAAGTAAATCGAGCCACTGTGATCCCTGAGAGGGATCTAACAAGTCACGTGACCCACCCGACAAAACCAATGGAATCAAATGTTTACTATTTCTATTCTCCGACTGCAAAGTTTCATTGACGCTGGCGTCAGGGGAGAACCGACAGGTAGATCCGGAGTCATCCTCGGAAGCTTCGTAACTAGAAGCGCCACCCTCATCGTTGCCTTCCTTCAAAGCCTTTGAGATACCCTTCTGCAACTTCTCCTGACTCTGCGTTAGTTGCGTCTCCATTTCGTCCACAGCATTCTTGACATCCTCGCGTTCCTCGTCCGGGTCAGCTTTCTCTTTCTTGGAATTACCATCGTCCTTCACGTTCAACGCTTCCAGCAAGATCTCTGCCGAGGCGCAGGCTGCCCTCCAAGTGACATCCTGAGGAACCGCGTAGTTGGCTCCATCGGAGCGTTTCAAAATTCGGGGTGAATTCTCAAGGGAGAACGCTGGAGGTGGCACGATAGGGGTAGCCGGGAAAGGTAATTTCATCGCCGTGTTCACTGGGTTATCGACGCTTGGAAAAGCCGACGTCGTGGCTCGAGACACTGGCGTAGAGGAGGTAGGGACCCCGAAGGGTTTCTCCTTGTTCGCATAGTGACTTCGATGCGTGTTGGCGACGTTTCTAGCGGCGGAGTTGTCCAAACGACGGTTAGATCGTCTTTGGTGCCTCTTCTTAGGGACATTATAACTCCCAGGCTTCATGTACACTCGGCCATCTTCGGAGCTGTCGTACTCTTCGGGTACCTGCGCCTGGACGCGGTTATTGATCAAGTTGTACGCGTTCCACGGGGCGCTCTGAATGCTCTGCATGTTCTGCAACGTCTGGAATTGACGATTGGCGTCGATCTGCAGCTGCCTGATACAGTTTCCCAGATCCATCGTGGTCTTCGGCAACTCCTGCCGAGACTGCAACCGCGGCACGACGTTCCCAGCCTTCGTCTCCCCCAAATTCGCGAACGGCATCTGACGACTGTCGGGATTCCTCATGCTGGCGAACCAGGCTGACAAATTGGCGGTCATCTCTTCCGACGACTTGTCTGGGACGCTGGGCTCGATCTGGCTGAGCAATGTCATTTTATCTTTGGGGACTGCTGCCAGCTCCAGCTGACTTGTCGGCGACTTGCCAACGTACACCAGGTCAACGTTAGCCTTGTTGCCTTGGCTCTGGTCGAAGTTCTTCAGGCTCCTCTCACCGTAGTCCATCCGATACGAGGGGCAGACGGAGTAGCCAGGGTCGAAGGTCTCGGAGTCGTTGTTGGAGGTGAAGTACATAGACTCTAGGCTGATGGACGGGTTCAGAAAGGACGACTCCACGCGCGATAGACACTTCTGAGCGTAATTGTTCTCGTAGCTCTCGTCCAGTTGTCGCTGAAGCCTGAAGATGGATTCAGGGCTCTCCTGCGGCGCTGTCTTGTCCTCCAGGTACTCCTGCTTTCTCTCCTTGAACGTCCACTGCCGGGAGTAGTCCTGGTTGTTCTCCGTGAGCACTTTGCTCCGCAGGTGAAAGAACTCCGCGTTCAGGGACTGCGCCGTACCCTCCACCTTCGAGGAAGTGCAAGCTCGCGAGCGGAATCTGCTGCTGGCTTTGATCCCAGCTTCCGCGTGGCCTAAGAACATATCAGGCACGAATTTTGTACTCTTCACCTCTGCCAGGTTCTTGGCAACGGTCCACTTACTTCGCGATTTCGACTCCTTCGGGGAATGCTTCTCCTGGTCGTAGTGAACCCGCAGGCTTCCGTTAAACGACGAGTTCCGTTCGTTTTTCCTGTTGACGCTCTCCTGACGGGACAGATTCGACGACGGGTCGAACAGGTCGCAATTAGTGTACACGGAAACGTCACCTGGGAAGAAGGTTCCGAACGATTCCGACTTCTGTTCAACGTTGGCAAGGTCACTGCTACCTCCGACCTTCAGAAACGTCTGGACAATCTGGTCAAGCAGTTCGTGAGTGTTCCTCTCCCACGATTGGAAGCACCTGATCAGCTCCTGGTCGAACTTCTCTTCCAAACTTGGGTAGTGCTGCTTGTTCAAGTAGTTGTCCAGGATCAGCCAGCCGTTGCTGATGCGCAGCAGCGCGTTTATCAGGTCGCCGACGAAGACGTGATCCCCAGCGAAAATTGGAAAGCAGGTCGATGATTTCGTTACGGCAGTTTTAGTAGCGGCGGAGAGGTTTTTCAGCCAGCCTGACCTGTGGCTGACCTTGGAGCTGTCATTGAGGACAATCTCAGCTTCCGTACAGCCCCAGTAAACGATCTTCCTCAGCAATTCGGGATACTGGGCGCCCTCGATCCCTGAATCATCGGTTTGGATCGCTACCGACGCACAGGTGCCGTAATTCCTGCAGAAATCGGCGAACCAGGCGTTCTTGTTCGAGATGGTGTCACCAGCTCCACTGAACAGAGGAGCTGAGCTGGGCTTGGCCTTCGTCTCGTCCTTACAGAGCTCGTTCGAGGACGTATTGCAGAGGGCCGAGACCATTTTTTCAGCGTCAATGGCGAAATCGAAGCTGGCGGAGGACTCGTCCGAGTAGTGTTCTTCTTGGGTCTTCGTGGCTGCGATCGTTGGGGCTTTTTCCAGGGAGTTGGTGGAAGCTTCTTGGTTGGCTTCATCGGTGACAAGCTTGGCGTCGAAGAGACTGTTCGTAGTGGAGATTGCTTGAAACGGCCATTCGTAGCTCTCAGTCACGATCGGGGCTATCTGAGACTCCTCGGTGGTGGATACCTTACTTTTTGTGCATTTGAAGGCTGAGACGTCGTGGGTGACGCTAGAAGGTTTATCCCTCAGAGTGCCACCGTAAGCTACGTTTACTGCAGGATTTGGGAAGATCTGAGACTGCACCGGCTGAACAGGTCCAGTGACTTGGTTGTTGGTGTAACTCGAAGGTGTGTAGGGACTGAGGTTGGAGAACTGATAGGTCGAATGAGTGTTGACGGTTTGCAAATTGCAGTTGTTCGCTGAGATGTTGTAGTAGGGCCCATGAGACGGTTGTTCCGGTGGTTGTTGCTGCTGGGGGTTCTGTTGGTCTTGTACCAGGCAGTAGGCTGGCACTTCCGGTGCCTTGTAGTAGGGTTGAGGTACCAAGGCGACCCCAGAATTGTACTGGTCTCCAGTGAAGGTGCCGTGCGTGTATGTCGAGGATGCGACTAGGAATGAAGCGGTTGGAGCTGCTGGTGGAGCATTGTTCGTCGTTTGATCGTACACGACCAGAGGTTTCAGGTTGTAGGATAACTGTTGCTGAATGTGCTGCTGCTGCTGCTGCTGCTGTTGCTGTTGCTGACAGTACTGCTGATTTCTGACCAGTTTATTCTTCGGTAGCCATCTGTTGCCTTTGCCTGAATTTGTGGGTATTCGTAGGAGAATTTTAGAAAATTGAACGGTGTCCTTAGGTCAGACATATTATGGGGTTTACAGACGCAGGGGTTCACGAAACAGATCTACATTTGTCTAAATAATAAATTTTCGTATTTACACCTTGTATGTGCAAAGGAATAGGATTAGGTAGGCCAGCGTTACGTTGCGCTCCTGGATAGATACACGACGGATGCAAACCAGTTCCGCATGGCTGAAGAGTTAGCATTGGATTAACGATGGGACCATAAAGGATTTGTTGCTGCTGCGGATGCAGGAGCTGGGATGGCGTGGACGTAGATGGGATCGAGGATTGCAAGGATGATCGATTGGATCGTGCAGCTGTTGGGTGCATGATCCACCTAACCCCCGGATCAAAAAATGTCTGCGTCTGTTCCAAAAAGAAATTTTCTTAACGTTTATTTATCTTCGGGTTACCGAAGTAATGCGAATACGCACAGTTATTTAGTAACTGTAATTATATCTAATCAATCATATATATGATTAAAACATGTGGAGTGTAAAATTTGTGAAAAAAAGATTCATAGAAAACTAGTACTTTAAATACTTTATACTCAAAATCTACAATTTTATAACACGCATCTGTGCTACATATGCACACAGATATTATAGGGAATATTATTTATTATAATTATATTGTATCATAGAAAACATTCAAAATAAAAAGGTATCAACGATTAACGAATCTAAATAAATAGTTTCACTTGGCATCCCACGAAAAGACACGAATACTCGCATTACTTATGAGTTGACCCGCTCCGTCGCTGCAACTTCTCACGGAAGTCTGCAATTTGCGATCTTGTAATCGTCTACTGGTATATTAGAAGTTACCTATCTTTCTCGGCGTATCGTCAAGGATGTCGGTTCCCCGAGCGTCGTCGCAATATCGTATCATTTATCCGACTGAAATTAAAAAAAAGGTATTCTCGATAAGGCCGTGGCCGAAGGATTCGACCACGAATATAGCCGTTATGTCAGTTGTCATTTGCCTCTAACCTATGCGCACTTTTTCGCCTTGATTACTTACGATAACAAATAGATTTAACTTTTACCTAATGTCAGAAACGCTCTTTCAATTTTCCCGTGCAGATCAGTCGTGTTCGATGATTATCAGCGACGTCGAGCGACGAGGAAACGTCATAAGACGCGCCGCTGCGTCCGCGGCGACGTTGACCGACGAGCCAAGATCATTTTTAACTTTGAACAAACTCACAGGGAAAAGTGGCGAAGAAACGAACAAGATTAAAATTTATTAAAGTACAAATTCGCGATTAATGTTGGGCGAACACGACGAATTGAGTTTCTTGAAATCACTAATTCCTTTCGTATTAACGGACGCGGGTCTTAAGATATCCGTTCTTGCGCGACGATCACCGCGACAAACCGATCGGGATTCCTTACGAACGAGAAAGAACGAAAAGTATGTACATATTGATAGTCGAATGGTAATTCTACGAAACGGAAGAATTCAACGAACACCGCGATGAAAATATGGCAGATCACTGACTATTGGCATGAAACAAAATTATCCCTACGGAACAATGAAACGGGAGAAAAAATTTGACGTACGGTTCAGGCAGAACCGATACACCTGATTCGATTACTCGTTTACGTATATTTTCGTGTGGATGCGTAATTATAATCAAGATTAGAAATGAAAAAAATTAGAAGATAGTACCCTGTTGACCTTAAGTAATTCGTGATCATCCAAAAAATTCGAGATAAGGGAAAATAACTAATTCCAGTTTTTCGCAACGACAACCCTCAATATATTTTCCTCGCTTCGCACAAAAACATATAGTACAGATGTTTCGTTTCCGCGTTCCAATCAGCATGGTACGATGATTCTCGATAAGTATGCGCGTTCGTTGCGTACGTAATATCATTCTTAAGCTCTACGCAGAAAAATTGTCAAAGTGAACACAGTGTGACTACCGGTCACACCCTCCAGCACCTAAGTTGAAGTGTCCCCAAGAGGAGTTACGATCGCCAGGCTGTTTTTTGCAAAAATGTATGAAAAAACATACTGTTCCTGAATCCCTATATGGATACTCGGTAAAAAACAGTAAACATTCGACGATTACGTAAATTTTCATTTGTTCGAGGGAAGCATAATTGCTTTCAATTAAATGCACGCGATGAATCCAACGATATTCTTTTTTAGGGATGTCTCTTTGGGCCCGATTCGACGTTGGCCAGGATTTGTCTTCGCGACACGTACTCCGATGCGTTTCGTTTGAAAAAAAAACGGACAGGTGACCAGGAACAGCGTGCACATATTCTCTAAGCTGGGAGAACCGTTAACCCTAGGAGGACTTCTGGGGTCTTGGCTGACCCACGCGCGTATCTAGAATATTTATACCATACTTTCATCGTTTCGATTGTAACTAGCTTATCGATATATAGATTGTTTACGTGAAACCAGTGGGCATTCGGCGTCATAGACGTTGCATCCCCGCTATCACACCCACTGGCAGATGACCATGTCTGCATTAAATACTAGAGAAACAAGAAATGTAAATATTAGAACGTGTAACGAGTTACTTAAACTGTATATGAGTCGATAAATTCTTATCCCGAACGAATTAGTGGCGGGTTTGCAGTTAATGTTGGCAGTAAACACCACTTTGTAAACGACACGACGCGCATACAAATTAATTTGTTGTTTTATTTTGGGGGGGGGGGGGCGTTTTTTCCTGAAAACCATTCGACTCTCTTTGTGTGATATTAGGCAGGTATACATTTACTACGTGGTCGTTGACGTGTTTTCTCATCTTTCTACATTTCTACACATCCATACGTCCTCCCTTCTTCCTACGTCTATTTATCGTAAGCTGAAATCAGACCTGGGCACTCTTGAAACTAATAACAGGTTCGTTTATCTTACGATCATTTGAAATTGTTTCAATAATATGTTAATGGTTATTATTAACAATAATATTATTTTGAAGATTATTTATTTCGTTAAATTTAAGATAAAGTACTTATCTATAAATGACCGTATTGAAAATAATGATTCGAAATAAGTTACTTCAAGTAGTTACTTCTTCCTTTCATTTCAATACAAACTTGCCCAGGTCTAGCTGAAGTATATAAATATCATTACGTCTCTTCCATAGATGCTACGAATTCGTCTAACTCCAACCAGATAAGATTTAAGTTCGATGGGGATTCGAGCGAACCCAGAGGTGGTCAAGCTTGGACAGAAGTTCCTCCTAGGGCGAACCAATGGACAGGAGGAAGCCACTGCACCCTTTGCACATTTAAATTTAAAACTCCATCCCCTGTCGGGTGGCTCCTCCGTTCCCTCGAGTACATACTTCGAGATCGTCAGCATTCAGGACAACGAAAGCATACGAGTTCCACGATCATATCATTTTCGTCTAAATCCGAGGCCTCTGTGCCAAATGGCCCACCCTGTGACAGCACCTGGCTCCTAACCCTCGGTTTCCAAGGATACAAACGGAAAAGAACTCTGTTCACGGGGCTTTTCGCGTTCGAGGAATGGCTGTCGTGATGCTCCTCTTATCTGCGACGAGAGATCAAAAGGTACTTCCTCTAGAATCCATTGTACTGTCGACTCGTCTCTTTCCGTTTCTCGAGTATGCGAGGTCGATGCTGCGTGTAGCTACTAACGATCTCGAACGCATCCCTTCGTCGTCTGTTTGTTTTTTTTATTTTTATTTTTTTTTTTTTTGGGGGGGGGGGGAGAGAGTGTTAACATTCTTGGAGCTAATTGCGCATGTACGCCAGCAATACAGTGGCCAGAACACACGTCAGAATCAAGGATTTCGATGACGGAACGTTAGGCATGGCTCCGTTACAGTAGTCCGTCAGACACGAACAGACCTCTTGACGGCCACCGAAACCGCTTCGTTGGTAGCACCTCCCTTTGTAGTTCGACTCGTCCCATCCGCAACCCCTTATCACCCGGCTGTCGGGTGGAACTGTTTGGAACAGTTAAAAACGTTAGAATTTATTCGAGTTTATTTATTATTTATTGATCGTACTACTATCCTATACCAATAACGGATTACATTACTGTACTATAGTACAAAAGAGTTGGTTTAGTTTTTTTTATAATACTTCATTCTGGAAAGATGAATTATTTCATCTATTTCTATTCCATTTATTTATCGCGCTACTATCCTGTACGAAGGGCAGATTATATTATTATATTATACTACCGTAACGATGAAGTATATTTGAACCACGTTAGTTCCTACATTGTATTAGACGACACCAACTACCATAGCGAGGTGTACACGTATATACTAATCAAGCTATCGTAGCGTGGTCTGCAATACGTGGTGGCTTTCTATAGAATAATGAGGGTGCTGTATTAATCTGGGTTAATGCGGATAGTTTGCCGGGGTAGACTCTTGCATTACCAGTTAGCGTTCTAAAAATTCTGCCAAGCATGCTACGGAACTCATTTTCGTCGTAACCACTAATATTCCGAGTCTACGGTTGGTTAAACCGATTACTTGCAGGAATATTTGCTAAAAGCGCACGTTACACCGCGATAGCGATCCTACGATGAAACCATTTGCGTATTACTTACGTCCATTAACGCTAAACTCGATGACTTGCGTAATCTTTCGGCACATCGTGTACTTTGCGCCGTCCTTGAGATCGGAGCAATCTCTTTTAAGGGCATCCGGAGGATCCTTGTCGGCGCAACGACTGTCGTTGTGACTGTTACATATGTAACACTGCATCCCGTATACCCCTGAAAAATGGTGACATTTCAAAAATTATTCGTCGGTTCAAGGTCGAATTTATGTTCGGGAGCCAAGGCTACTAGTCGAGTTTCAACGTAATCGATAATGAGGTACTTGGGTATTTAAACATTCGAGTACTTGACGGTATTACTTATTTGTATATACTTGTTTGATATGATTAAATATATATATATATATATATATATATATATATATTTATTTATTTATTTATTTACTTATGAATTTATTAAATATAATTCCAATAAATTAATCAGACTTCATGGTAACTGTGGTTTATAGTTTAACCAAGTTACTGATAAGTGGGGTCAACGTGAAGCATAAACAACGGAGCGATAAAACGAGGGAATCAGCAGACAATTCCTGAACAGCTACGCTTAGAAGCACCTTATGTTTGTATGCTAATGTTCTGTGTTAACATGTGTGTGTATTTATGTAGGTCGATTTAATAATTTCGAAGTGTTTTCGTTTTTTGATAAAATTCCAGAAACGTGTCCATTCTTTTCAGACGGAGGATCATTCAATGATCAATTTTCAATTTTCAATTTTAACATTATGAATATTTTGTATGTTTTTCACATTTGCGTATGGTAAAATTCATCCAATGATCACGTTTAAACTTAATAAGCATTTCATCCACCTATTCCAATATAGTTTTCACCGGTTTAATACCAAATAAACGCTTGCTTCTCCTGTGCTTCAACGGTCATAAAAATCGTAGACGGTCGAGTTTATCGTTAAAACTGTAGATTCCGATGGTGGAAAGGTTCATCGTCCCTGTGACCCTACCGTGATATAAAAATCAATGCCCCAGAAAGACAACGGCGATAAGTTTGCTCCGCTTGTCTCCACACTTTAATCTTGTTTCTGCGATCATTCATAGCTCCATATCATTGCAGAGTGGTGCAAGAAGAGTCTAGGGTTTTCCCTTATAATTACTCTCTAGATTATGGTTATATAGTTAGCGTTTCACCTGAGGTGCTAATTAGATACTTCATGTATCCAGGAAAGTTCGATGGGTGGAGTCTATTTTTCGAGTACTACGCTTTCCAACCATTTACCTCGACTAATCAGACAATCATAATATTGCACACTTCCGTGATCATTGTTAAATCGGTCGCGATACTAATACTGCCGCTCGGACGCTCGACATCTCTCGAACGAGGAAGTAGCATGATCCACTTTCAAGCATATCGTCCCTACATCTATGAAACTCCGTGAAAAGTAACAGGTATCGAAAATATAATCAGCAATGCTCCAGATGATCATTATATACATTCTTTCGCTCAAATTTTGTCATTACGAGTCGTTATAGTCGTTATTATTGCCACGAAACCTGCGTGAAAAGAACTATGACGTAAGTCTAGGGTGTTGTCTGTTTACAATTTCCCTGTTGCCGAGGGTAGCCCAAGGCGGAAACTAGGTCTGAGAGAGGGACACGGGAATCGATAGTAGGTAGTCTCGCACACCAACCCCTGACGATCGTTGAACCTCGAGAACCCCCACACGGGATGTGTGTTGGTTGGAAATTTCGATAAGCGTTTTTTCCATGGAACCATAATTTCATGTTCGCTCTAAATCGATGATTGATTGGCATGGATAAGATTAATATAATTTTGAATTCTATTTCAACCACGAATGGGATTACTTATTCATGGTTGACCTACATTTGGAAATTTTTGGCGTGGCAACCAGCTGGAGCAGAGGCGGACAAAATTCTACCTTTTATACGTCTACAAAATTAAATTCAAGAAATGTTTTAACCTTTTTATATTTACTAATAGAGGTAAACTGAAGAGCGAAAATATTAGAACCATTTTTAAAAGTGTTTTGTGTATGTTATAGAAGGCTAGAAAGATTTTACTGTTACCTATATGTATGTTATATAATTGTAATTCGGAAGCAACTAATCTTCTGCGATTTCTCATACCGAACGTGGCCAGAGATGAAAATTCCTATTGATTCAAGCCTCCCCGTATAGCGGTCTTCCATTCCATAAAATAAAATTACTCCTCACTTTGCGAAACCCAAAGAGTACCCTTTCATACGCCATATAAAACTATAACCAATACCAGCGCAAAAACACCCCATAAGTGTAAAATTGCGCGCTATTCCAACCAACGGTAGCAAAGTTTAATATCGAACTGTTCCAGGTTCACGAAAGCACTTTTCGGGGCGGCCATATGGGATTTGTGACAGACTCGGCGACGCCTGGACGCTTACCATAATAACCGAGAACGACCATGAGGCAAACGACGAGGACGTGAGCACACTTCATGTTGGGGTGGTATCCTTGCACGATTAACGGGTATATCCTTTAACGTTTCGACGGACCCGTTTGCGATGGCGGCCGTTTAAGTGTTGCACGCGACCAGGAGGGTGAGAACTGGTGGGAACGAGAAAGAAAGAGAGAGAGAGAGAGATAGAGAGAGAGAGAACGACCGTTTCAGGGGTTGGCGAGGCCAACCATTCGGCCTCGAGAGCTGCTGATACACTGTTCACGCTCACGGTACCTCGCTCGATCCACTTTCAGCGCAAGCCCGCGACTAAGGCGACGATGTTCGCCAGCACCGAGCGGAACCGCGAGAGTACGTGATTGCGCGCGTGGAACATAGCCGATGGGAAGACGGGGCGAGACGCGCGCTTTAAAACGGGCTTGTCAAACGAACGAAGCCCAAGGCCCAAACCATCTAGCCGATGGTAGCGACAGTTTCGACGCTGATACCCTGATCACCGATAACGACTCTGTCCGAATCTTATCAATGTCGGTGGATTTGATCGATTATTCAATGAATGTTCAATCCTGATTCAGAATATTATCGAATTACTACTCCTTGCGATAGTAAATATTTGTAGGGAGACAACTAAGAGAAAAGAATTATTTATTTTACAAATTTACATTCATTATTGTTTCAACCTCTGGAGACGAGGGGAGATTCCATGGTAGCTTTCACGGCTGAATCAATATTTTCGATGGACCAAAGGAGAAGGGATGCTGTCCGAGATTGATTTTTGCTGTATTGCAGTGGTGGATTTGTATTTTATTTTGGCTGCATAAGAATGGTCCCGAGGAGAAATTCGGTCGATAGGGGAGGGTTGGGTAAGATGGTAACCGGTCTGTAGACTTGGAAGGTGATTCTGTAACAGGTGGCCAAACTTTAAGAGGGCATTGTGTTTGCTTTAAGGACACTCAAGGAGGTAAAGAAAATATTTTCTTTTTTTAACCAAAGATTATTGAATACACTTTCATGCGTCCTTTCCCCCTTAACTTCCCCACGAACGAATCTTCTACATCTGCATTTGCAGATGAGATTCGAACCGTCCCAGTTTCCGCCGATCGTCCTGTATGAAGCCTTCCAAATTTCATTCCACTCGGATGGAGAAAGGAATCGTCGAGTACCTTAACATGCCAACGGGCAATGTAGAGTAAGCAGGATGTCTTTTATTCGCTGATAACAAAAAAGTACGATTGTTTTGACGGGTAAGGCAGGACTGCACGTTAAATGGGGAAGGCCGTGGGCGGTACGAAGAGCTTTATGTTCAAATGGAGCGTAAAGTGGCGGTTTGGAACACTGTAAGTGGATAATATCCCTTTTCCTGTGACACACTGAACGTCGCGAAATGTCATCGAAGCTCGTGTAATATGTCGCACGCGAACAATATGCGGAAAAGGAATGTGGAAGGTACGCTGCCAAGTTGTCAGTAAACTTCTTCTATGTCATCCGCCATAACATAACGTGTTTCGTTTCTTATAACGATGGAAACTGATTGCAGACAGATCATCGAATTACATAATTAACATATTTATTAATTTGATGTAGAAAGGCGCAAACAATTTTCCATTGTTTTTAACAAAAAGTTTACAATCAATGTTATTTATATTCAACAAATTGGCGTGCACAATTGATAAATGTTCCGATGACAAGCAGCATATGTTAATTTCTTTTATGTATCACATTTACGAGTTCAATTCTCATCGCACCTCGCTTGTCGCAGCTAGCATTTAACATATTTAACAACACAGCGAGTCCCTGACACGTCTTCGATCATTACATTCTACGTGGTAAGTATTATATTTGGTTTGCGTGCTTCGTAGACCAGTGGTTAAAAAATCTTTCTTTTTAATAGAATAAATCAAAGGTGTAGCGTATATTTTTCTCACGATAGAAGATATAAAAATTAAATAAAATTCAACAATAAATAAATAAAATACAAGTCTGAATGAGTTAAGATTTGTGTATTGATCAAGAAAATGGTGAAACTGTTTAGCAACTTCGTGGCACGAGAATCGATTATTATAATACCCAACAGCCCCATTCTCGATCGAAACAACGATACACCGATCATGTTTGCAACGTTCACACCTGAGAAGCTTTCGCGCCGAGTAAAGCGAGGAATTGATAAATTAAACGCCAATCTCCGCGACGTTTATCAATGAGTTTAGAACCGCGTTGAATTACATAAATATTCTTATGTATTACAAGTCAAATAGGAAACAGAATTTCTCGCACCCGGTATATCGTCGTTTTCCAAGGTACACTATAACCTTTCACGGGATATTGTTCCACTCACAAAACCTATGGCACACGTCATCATCATTAATTAAGCAATACATTTTTTACATTATTGCAATTTCATTTCCCAGATTCGAAATATTTGAACGTTTACATGTTACATGTAACACGTAAAATGTAACATTCGATTCAGTTACTACAGAGACTGACGATGTATATGTGTTAAAAATCGACTGATAAGGGAACAACATAAACAAACGATGCGGATGAAACTGAATACGCTGCAAGTATTGTTGTTCTTGTTCGTTTTCCAAAGAGGTAAGGTTCGGGACGTAGATACCACGTTTGTCGATCGTAGATAATGCCAAATGAGTACTTGTCGAGCGAAGATGAGGCAGTGGCTCGGTACGTAGGAACGTAGTAGCCTACCTCGGATAACAGTAGAAAATGTTAACATAAAATGTTCGCTGCCGAATTTCTTCCTCCCTGTTCGATCAGGAATTAAACAAATATTTTTAAGAAAAAGAATTCCCTATTCAATATTTTTATTTTTCGCCGTTTGTACATCTTATGTGCTGTCGGTACACGCATGAAGAAACCAGAGCCATCAAGTGTTATCAGTGCAATAGCAAAGAGGACGAGGACTGCGCTATCAATAAAGTAGATACAAAGTACCTGAAGCCATGTCTACCCTCGCAAAGATTCTGCCGTAAAGCTGTATACATATGTGAGGGCAAACTTACGATATTACATCTTAATTTCCTCTGAGAGATAATTTTAATATTCAAACATTCATTTCTGAGTTTCTACAGCGATCGTTTCGGCGCACAGTGAACTCGCAATGGCACCGCGTGCGCTGAAACGATGGTTGACCTATCCCATCCATAGAAATATGACGTCCGACGAACACTGACCAATTTTATGTCTCTGCTTATTTAATTCCGTGAATTTTCAGATTACATCACGGATTCCCACGAGCACATAGTCGTTCGCGAGTGCGCGAAATGGCGTAACGCCGACACAGAATGTTATAGAGGTCGTTATCCGCGCGACAGTTATCAATTCGTTTGCGAGTGCCACGGTGCAGGATGCAATCGGTCCGGGAGATCATCACCGAAGACAACGATTTTTCTTTACGTTCTGTGCCAGCTAGTGCTCCTTCTAGTGTCAAGTCCCACTTGACTCCGTGAACCGTTAACATAAGTAACAACAATGAGGCAACAAGGACCAATATTTGGCAATGACGAAACAAGCGTTATTTATGTACGTCTAGTCTTAGAGTCACCTTCGCAACCTGGCAAACGTGACAATTAAATTTAAATTGAAATCCACCGTGTCGATTACAGGAACGTGTATGATCATTTCTTTCTCAAGCAAAAAGCCGTCGGAGCAATACAAAAAATACTATAACGCGAGTTATTTTATTAATTCTGATTAATTAATTATTAAAACAGCATGGTAAATGTAAGGCTAGGATATATCCTTCAGTTCGTGATCAATCTAGGAACACGTAATTATATTACAAAATTATTGATGAAGATCAAGTGATTATTTTGTTATATTATTTGCATATGTTGTGTGCACACATGATTAATGGACTACCAGGCACGATTAACTGTAAAGAATGATAAATGATCGATGTATGGTTGCAAATTACCCATCGAATTTATGATTGCCACTTTATGATCACGCTAAGTAATCACTGGCCAACTCCGTTCTGTAGTTATACAATTTTTAATTGTCGGTAGAGAGCAATCTTTCGCAGTGACACCACGAGGTTACGTTAGACATAAAGCATTTATTTATGAGAGCTAAACGCTCGCTCGCATTCATCACATCTCGAGCAACGAATAAGGAGTGCCGTCGGTTTTTTTATCGAACGCGGGACAAAGCGATCTTTTTTATCAGTGTTGGCACAGGCCCAAGCGAAATTTCACAGTAGTCCAGAACGACCCCAGTAAGTGTCGATTATACGTCTATTTATGCTTTGAATGTTGCTGATTTTGGACATTCCATAAACAGTACGCACGTGGTACGTACATTCCATGCATCTGTAATATCGTCAAGCGTATTATAGATTACGTGGAAGTTGTTTCTGTATTGTAATGGCTTCCAGGACGATGTGCCAAAGCTTCGATAATTCAAATTTATTTCCGTAATAATACATTTTCTATTTTCTAAGTAGGCATCGGGATCCTCTAGTTTTAATCCTTTAAACAATCCTTTAATTTTCAATATTATGCGTGCCACGACAATATGTCGAGACAGCTTCAACGATTCATATTTATCGTATCTATAATTGTAATTCCCGGAATACCCTGACAGAAATATACGGATTAATATAATTCCTGACGCGATAAAATGTATGTGTCACTCCTATTCAGCTGGCCTAGCCCCCTGTGGACTTTACGCGTCACCAATATCCGGATGACGTGGCAGTCGACGTCTTAATGACCACGAAGCAAGTTGTCCAGCCACTCCCATCGGACCCACCGCGAATTAACAGGAACAATCGTTCGACAAACGGTATTCCGACCCACTCGCCCACGTCATCCGTATTGTTCCCGACGGTTTGATGGTACCTTCCCTCGCAGGAACATTTGGACGACGTCGACTGATTTATCTGCGTGAGGAAAGTTTTTATCCGCGACTCCTAATGTCTCCCCTCGGCGTGTCCTCTCGGAAACAGGATACTTCTCACTCTGGAAACGGTCCCACGCAAACAGAGCCAAAGTAATCGCTAACATGCGTATGTGCGTGAAACAAAATGGCTCCTGTACCTCCTAAGGGTGAGTGAGGCGCCAAGGATGCGTAAAGTCTATCGCACACGAGCGTTTCATTCGGAGTTTTGCTACTGCCAATGTCTCAGCAGTTTGGTCAAAGAATGGCTCTGTTCGTCAAAGCCTGAAACCGTAAGGTCTTTCACCTTGATGGTTCGTCTCTTTAGCATTCTCTAACTAGGCATCGAGATCCTCTGTCTTCAATCCTTTGAGCAGTCGGTAATAGAAAGCTCCCTGTCGGCAAGGCTCTGTAACGTAGAACATTCTGTTGGT